AGTATCACTCGAATGGAATTATAAGTACTCTTTGGAGCCTACGACAAACCACTTCTTGAATATATCAACCAAGTTGCCTAATCAGGACGCCGGAAGTACGCGTTTCCATTGAGCTGCTACGAAAATGGTTGCCGGCCTTAGAGCTGTTGTCTATAGAACGCGCCTCACGATGCCTGACCTCTTCGCCGTGGAGTACCCTCGCCTTCGAGGGGACCAAATTCTTACTTATGTCCTGTTTGAACAAGGTTTGTCCAACTGGTTTTTCACCTCTGACCCAGCAAACGCGGCGGGGACATGCTAAGTGGCTGCGTGAAATAACCTTCCCCTTGCGGCTGTGCGCGCTCCTCTTAGAACTCATTTCAATGCATTATTAGACCCTTATTTATGCGAGTCCTCGCGCTGGTAAGCACACCGCCCCGCGCTGAGAACTTAAAGAGCAGTGCTGCGCTATTTTTTCACTTCTGCCTTTCAGTTGAATGACAGCGGCTGAATGAAAAGAACAAAACCAACCTAGGTATCTTGGGTAAAGTCATCGATCCCTATGCATCAATCCGTTTTCCCCTGGAGTACCGTCGCCTCAGATGGGACCTAACTCTCACTTGAACAAAGCTTGGCAAACAGATTTTTTACCGTTGACCCAGCAAACACCCGGCGGTGACATAGTAAGAAAATTTTCAAGCTCAGGGCACACACATTCATTAGACAAAAATTTTTTCATTTCGGTAGTAGCTGCGTGGAATGACTTTCCTCCGACGGTTGTACACGCTCCTTCTAGAACCCAAGTTAAAGCACTATTAGACATTTATTTATGCGAATCCTCGCGCTGGCGAGCATACTGTCCCGCGCTGAGAACATAAAGAGCAGTGCTACACCCTTTTTCACTTGTGCCTTTCAGGTGAACGACAGCCACTGACCGATAAGAACAAAGCCGACCCGGGAAACTCGGGCAAAAGCCTCGATCCTGTGTATCAATCCATGAATCCGTGAATCCGTGTGCGTCATTTCCAAGGTCGTTTGGTGGCGTTGCGTTCACTGCAGTTTGCCCTCGGTTGCTGGCCAGCTACTCTATTCGGTAGTTCTCATCTTCATCTTTATCTGCACTTGGGGTAGTTGAACTCACTTCGTATCTAGGGGTTTGAGCAGGATTGCCGCGTTGACATAGCATGGAGTGAGCCCAACATTGTAGAAATTTTATGCCTGTTAGGCGTTGCATATTAGATCACATGCTCAGGGTCCGTTCCCGTTGCGGGGAAGACAGTTAACTAATCCGAATGCTCACATAATTGCATCTTATCAGACAGCCAACCCTAGCATTCAGGTATCCAACTAGAACTCTTGTGTGTTCTAGACGCTTCCTGGCAGGAAGCATCATTCTACCGCATGTGGCAGGTTGTGGAATCACAGTCGCATCTGCGCTTCATTGAGCTGTAGCATATTTCCGAAACAGCTTGATGGTTTAGGCACAGAATAACGAACTGGAAATTTCGTAGTTTGCACTAATTAGCCATGGTTTTCCGATTGCTCCTGTCCAGGCTTCGGCTAACTGACTATGTCTAGCTCTCGCGCATTTTTCAAGTGGCACGGGGCCTGTGCTGGACTTGTCAACCATCAAGAAAAGGTGATTTACAAAGGTAGGATGTGTTCGCTTGCATAACACATTGAGCCATGCGGAGGATTGTAGATGTTACTCCCAGATGTTTCTAATACCAGGTTGATTAAGGTGTAGGGGGCTAACTAACAGTCTCTTGGTCCTTCAGATGAGGACTTTGGCACGTGGTGACTTGCTCCTTACAAGTTTAGATAGCTCTGGAAGTCTTGTGCCAACCTCAGATTCCATGCGGTCAGGTATTCGAGCCAAGAACTTTTGGGAACACTGATCATCCTCTTGCCTAGACCTGTGCGCTCCAACAGCATTCCAGCCCATATAAACATAGGTCGCACAATTGGAAAGTCATCGCCTGGCACCATAAACCGGATCGTCCTTCAAACGGTGGGACGAACAGACTTTACGAGTCACGAGCTCTAAGTGGGGTACCTCAACTAAACTCTTCTGCCCGGGAAGCCAGGCAGCCCTCACCCACAGCCCGTTCCTACTCATCAACTGATGCACTGCAGTCAATCCATCGGCAAGTCCCCTAAGCACTGTTTATGCACAAGACGTCATTAACGATAGCTTCACGTCTGTGTTCAACAGATGCTTCGCTGCCATGCAACCATGGTTTATTTGAAAGCCTTATTGTGAACAAAAGAATAAAAGTGTTCGGGGAAGGGACTCAGTGCTAATTTATTATAATCATTCTGATGTACCTGTATCTCCAGACACTCATTTAAGCAATCCAGATAGAAACTGACAACAAGAACGCCATATCTTACAGCGTCTCCAACCAGACGCAGTGGGGACCATGTGGTCCCCATCTTAGATGACGAGTAGCACCGACAGCATGCAAGCGTTCCGAAATCTTTTTCATGCCCCTCTGCCAGGCCAAGAGTTGGCGTCCTCCTTGCTTCTGCCACTCTAAATCGGGCACAAAAAACAGCACTTTCTCTGGGTAACTATTTCGGCATACGCAATATATGGCCTAACCAACGCATCTTCTCGTCCTGGACACATTCCTCAATAGGAGTACCCGTTGCACAACCGAAAACTTGCTTTCTAATTGCCTCGTCATGGCTTTACCGACAACAACCCACACGAGCTGTGGTTCTGAGAAAGCGATTGTCGAGCACCTGAAGCCGTCTTAGTTCCGCTGCTCGAACACACCAAGTCTCAGCCGCACAACGAAGCAACCGACACTGTAGCCCGATACACACGTCTTTTGAGATTCAGGGATATACCGCTTTGACGCCATAGGTGTACCGAATTGGCGAACTCGGACCGAGCCTTGTAGACTGGTGCACTGACCTAATCTGTCGCACTACATTCAAGATATGTGAAATGCTCCACAATTTCGAATGCCTCTCCTGGGTTGTAAGTGGTGTGTTCAGTGACTATGCCCAGCACCATGTGGGTGCAAAGTGCATACCAAGGGACTTTGGACAGTTCATCTGAAAACATCTGCGCCTACTCCTTCCCGAAGACGAAAATGATGTCTGCATATTCCAGATCGACAAGGTTTTTGTTAGAGGCTATTTTAACACCGGGGTTTTGAAGACCTTCCTGCGTTTGTCTCGTTGCCTTATCGATCACGAAATCAAATATGAATGAAGAGAGTGGGCGTCCCTGACGGACACCAATTTGTGTCTGGGAAGACTCCTTTTCCCAATTGCAAGCTAACAAATCAGACAAGCGTTGACGGAGGACTTCACCCCTTTCTTTGAACAATGCGAGTGGGAGGTCATCCGGACCAGAAGCTCGGTGGCGCTTGAGAGGACATGCAGTCCTGGACCTCTGAGGCTGTAGAGGGTTCCACATCCACCGTCCAGTGTTCTACGTCAGCTGTAGGTTCCAGATGAGTGCCAGCTGGTGGCCACCGTAAATATTTTTCAAAGTATTCGGCCCAATGGCTGAGGCGTTCATTATTCAAGATAGTCGCTTTGTTCTGAACTTTGATGGTTTCCCTCAAAGACGATTTCCGGGGACCGATCGCATGGATCATTTGAAATAATCTTCGGGAATTCCTGGCTTTCTGGGGTCCTCCTGTTTCTTTGGTTTTCCGTGTCCACTAGACTTCACGATGGGCGAGATGGCCCAAGTGGTTAGAGCGCGAATTTACTGACCGGAAGGCCCGTGGTTCGAACCCGACCTCTGCCTCTCGACTTCCCCTGTCTAAGCTTGGGCAACCTGGCAGTATCCCAGCCCTCGTGCAAACTTCGGGTGGAATGGCAGTTAGGCACCGAAAGGGTGCTACAGTTGAACGAGACTTCACGATTGATTGGCACGCTCACCTTCACTTGACGTCTGATAATCTGTCGGGTCAAGTTATGTTCGGGAATGGCTGGGATATTTCTCCGAGATTCAAGGAGTGCCACCGTTCGGTCTGATATCCGACGCTTGAATGCGCCTGGTGGTGCTGTGCCACAAGCAAAATTCCAAGCAATATGCAAAGAAATGGCAATCTCGTCCCAGTATGAGTTCACATCTGATGGTGGAGCATTTGGAAGAGACTCTAGAAGACGATTCTGGTAAGTTCGTCTAACGTCCGGATCTACCGGTCTCTCAGTTGCCAAGCGATTTGTCAGCACCTTACGGGGCCCTCGAAAACGTAGGTAGAAGTGACTCCGGACGAGTGCGCGGTTGGAATCCGCAAATGTGTCGAAACGATTGGCAGTCAATAATTGATCCGTGCCGTCGGTACCTGATGGCAATGTGATCAATTTGAGTTCCTAGCCGGCACGCCGTTAAAGGACACCATGTAACCAGGCGACTTCGGCTAGTTCGAAATTTAGTACTGCATAAAACAGCTTGTGAGCAGTGCACAGCTGCTTTATTGTCCGTACGTACCGAGTCCAATCCACGTCGACCATCTGAGTCTCAGATGCGCTAAGCCTGACCTTTTGTGCATTCAGATCTCCGGCAACCTGGCCTTTTAGCTTACCGCAGCAAGGCATTTTGGGCGTCATCAAACTCGTCTTTGATGGTGTCAGAACTAGTCATTTGGGGCGTATGCAGACATGACAAGCGGACATCGGTCAACTTTCCGCTTGTAAGACTCCTTCACGGACGTTGCCAGACGAATCACACAGGCGACTATCAACTGGTATCCAGTCAAGCAAGGATCCTTCCGCCCAGTGACCCAGAACGTCGTTAACCTATATGCGTCCTGTTGTAGCAGCCTGTGGACCGCCAGAGTTGTGCAACCGGAAGCGAGTGGAGAGTGATGAGGCGGTTAGCTCAACCACTGTGGTTGCACCTTGAATTCTCGTTTCTACTTCAGCACACATCAGTGCCAAGTGAGTACAGTGTGAGAGCAGGAATAGCTTGTTGTCCTGTTTGCCTTAGAGTGCGCACCTTGAAAGCGGCCAGATAGACTGGGCGTCTAGGTTTAAAGATTGATTTATGGATGCCTGAGGGTGACGCGCAAATATTGCTTGCAAAACCGATGCAGGACGAATGGAACCGTCGGTCCCAACTAGTGGGCCTACAAGGAGGGAGTTATTAATGGGGTGGGAAGAGGGGGGGGAGAAAAGTATGTGAGAGAGAAAGAAGTTAGGTGTCAGCAGTAGACTGTTTTCGCTTATCTGCCTTGCTATGTGCGGCGAGTAAGGCGACCTCCCTGATGGACACTGGGTGTATTGCTATTTGTGATTACCATGACTGGGATACTGCCAGGACGCCCAGACCTTGACAGGAGGACGACCAGGGTCCTCAACCAAAGGCTTTTGTTCAAAAGCCTGACCACAATGCACCGGTGTTTGGCGTGAAATGCAAGTGCATTCCAATTTTTACGGGACAGATAGCCACACGTGTTCCAACCCCCAATCTGGAGAACCAGGAGACTGTGTTCGTCAAACTTCTAACCGTTGACCAACTTGATATGAGAGACTGTGTGTCGCACGGACATCCCCAGTGTATCTCAATGGGTCGCGGAGGTACATAAACCGTCACACCACGGTGAGATCCGGTCTCTTCGTGCGGGTAAGAGTTCGGACACTGAAGTCGAGCTCCTTAGTAGTCAATTTGCTACAGGCTACTACAGGCTAATAATCTTTCTATTCTTAACGTCAGCATACTATCCACTTAAATTCAAGTTTCGCAAAAGTATCGAGTTAAAGAGGTCCAAAGTGGGCTTTTGTTGTCGGAGTTCTAATGGTAATTTTCAGTAGTTCCATTCATGATGATATCTTCACTTCCCACCATTGACCATAAGCAACAGTGATTTGTCCCATCAAGGAATGAACTCTTCATAAGGTAAAATCGCTAGGTACGTTGTCATGGGAAAAACTCTTATCATATACGCCTGTTTCTCATGTAGTGCAGCACAAAAGTATTGGAAGCCCATAGACATCAGGTATTTTGACATTCCTGTGTGACATGGCTACTTGTTGTGACGCCTGATTAGATAACCTTCTGCACCAGTACTGTCCAGATTGTCTACGGTATCTTGATTCCAGTTCTCGGCCACGTTTGTTTTCCTTTCTGACTGCAGGCTGTGACAACTATTGTCAGATTAATACTCTATTCACCAATCCTCTTAAAAACACGGGAAAATGATGTTTCACACATCGACAGATAGCCACTGGTGATCATTATCTGTACGTTAGGGGCTTACTTTCAGTTCTCTGTCCCCAGGTCGTCATGTCATCCGCAGAGTTAGGTCAACCAGCTCATAGGAGTCTCGTGGTTTGCCACCCCCTTTTTCTTCTGGTAGTTGCAAGAATTCTGACCAGTGAAGGAACACTTCAATCACATTTGTTGTATTTTCGGAAGTACTTTCCTGGCATAAGTGTCCACTTTCGTGGTAAGCATTTTATCCTACCGTTAATTTTTAACCTGAACGCGTGTCACATCTGGTCGTTTTTTCATACCGGTTCTGGAGTTGTGCTTGACTAGTGCGAGATGATGGTCTGATCAAATATTTTTTCCTTCAAAATGTTTTAAACTTCACTGGGCTGCACCGGCGGGTAGCGGGTTTACAGATTCATCAGTGGCACTGTGAAGTATAGCAATCCATATCTACACATTCTTAGTCCCTTCAGGACTTACCATAGGGAATCTTAAAGAGCCCAGTCTGATGCCTAACTACGTTTGATTTCCAACATTTTCTTACAATTTAGATGAATACTTTTTCAAGAACTCATTCTCTACTAGTCAGCAAATCTACGGGAACTATTTCTGCCATATGGACACGCCTTTCAACCACACACTTTGGATTTCAAACGGTGGATGAAGAAGAGAAGCAGCGTAAAGGTCCGCTTAAATGGAGCTGCAGTATTTTTTCCAGTCTTTAATGTGTTCCAGAATGTAGCGGAAAAGTACGATCTCATGAATGATGTCATGAGTGCTGGAATCCATCGCTTGTGGAAAGATAATTTTGTGCACCAAATAATGCCAACACATAACCTCAAGTTCTTAGATGTAGCTGGAGGCACTGGTAAGTTGGTTCTTTTCCTTTTTCAGTCTGCTTGTAGGTGACATTGCATTCCGCATTCACCGCTTTTCCAAAAGATTGCCTTCAATCAATTCAGGAATTACGAATGGTCCTTCAAATAATTCAGAGCCACAGATTACCCTCTGTGACATCAATCCGGCCATGATGGAGGTAGGAAAGTCTAGGGCTAACAAGTTAGGAATTTCTTCGAGTGGGTAATCATGCCGTTTTTGTTAGCGTCTACCTTTAGTTTGTTGGGTGGAAGGTAATGCAGAACAACTTCCTTTCGAAGATAACTCTTTTGACGTCTACACCATTGCATTTGGGATTCGAAACTGTACACATCTGGACAAAGTATGTATCATATTCCAAGGTAGACAAAAAGCTTGATACAGGTCTTGTTCGAAGCCCATCGCGTGTTACGACCACATGGACGGTTCTTTTGTTTAGAATTCAGTCAAGTTGTGAATCCTGTCCTGGGCAAGTAAGTCTGTTTAGAGCCATGGTATTGTTCGTGCGCTCATTTTGTCCTGATGTTTTTTCATGTGTAAGAAACTGAAAACAGATTGACTCATGGGGGTGCAGGATATAATAGCATCTGGCCCTTTAAGCTCAAGCTGGCCTAAGCACAACCAAAAACCAGGAAGTGGTGAATCAAACAGCTGAGGCTGTTTATGCGGTACGAAGGACTGTTAAGAGGGACTTTCAACAGCCACAGTTATTGGGTACAGGGACCTTACCTGACGTATAAGCAAGTCAGACGTCAGGACTAGATAACGAACGGTTGCTCAGGAACCTAGCATCTCAATCATTATACCTGTTGGTCAAGAATTGTAGTTCGTATATGAATCCTCACCTGTTAGAATGGTAGCTGATGACCAGACCAACAATTAAGTGCGCTGAATGACAACAGTATGTCGAACATAACCGATCGTACTTGACATCAGTGCGACTCCGAAAGGCTTAGTCATCCCACCGGTAACTTTGAACCAGGAGAGTTACTAAACTTTGTCACTTTCATCCACGACAAAACACTTGTGCAAATTACCTTTACTTGTGTGTGAAAATTTGAGCTATTTCGGATTAGTTTTCAGTATACTACAAACTGATGCCTGTAGCAAAGCAGTAGTCAGGTGGTCCATGGCAAGTGAGAGATTGATGTTGACAGAAACCTCAAGATGAAGGTTGGTTGTCTCGAGGAAATGGAAAATTATATGAATCCCAGGGTGTCGTATTAATGGTAGCATTTTCATTTAGAAAGGGATTTGAGATTTGACGTAGAGACTACTGATACACCGCTTCAGCTTGAACGATAACATGAGTTGGCCACACAGAAGAATCACCCTCCAGGAAGGACACTCTTAACTTGTGACCCTGGAGCGCATTTTGTTGATCATCTTCATCCAGAGAACTCCTCTTTTCATTTTGATCGTCTCCTTAGGTGGTCTCGGGCGGTGAATAATTGTGCTCGCTATGGCTTCTGGCAATCCTGGAGCCTATTTTTTGCAAGCATGTTCCAAGAGTTCAGCTATCCTGTTTACTTGCTTCATAGGTTTGTTGTCTGTGTCTGTTTGAGATGGTCAATCAGTCCACGGTCACCCAATGACCTCTATGAGGACGAAAAGTCTAGTTTGATCAAACCTACACCCACTATTTCAACCTCGCTGTCTTCACAGTAGACCCGATTGATCTTGAATATCTTACGTGGTTACTTTGTCAAAACTGACCACCCGTAGTTTAAGTCTGTTTCATCAGTGAAGTCCCTCCCCACAGGATATTTTCTATGGATTCCTTTTATCCTGAGAGGAGCGGCCCTATATGATTTTGACTCGGTCTTGCAACAGATATCTTGAGCTTAAGATACCCACCAGTAGGAGACGGTATGTGTTAGCTTGATGCTAGTGAATTCGTCTGTGGGGATGAACCGAGTCTTTTGGACTGTACAGTATCTTTATTTTTTGTTTGTTCCAGAATGTACGACATTTACTCAATGCAGCTCATCCCTGTCTTTGGCCAGCTGATTGCTGGGGACTGGAATTCTTACCAATATTTGGTAGAGAGCATTCGCCAATTTCCTCCGCAGGAAGAATTCGCAGAGCTTATCCGAAGTGCTGGTTTCAGTTCCGTCAATTTTACCAACTATTCTTTTGGCATATGTGCTGTGCATAGTGGATTCAAGAAACCACAACGTTCAGAGGAAGTTAAACCTTGCAAATAACACTTTGAGGATTGATTTATCCACAGATAGACATACTGTAACTCAGCAAGTGATGAAACTCCGTCTTTGCTATTGAGTCCAATTTTATTTTACCTGGGTGTCTTAGGCGGCGCAGTACAATGGATACGATTTTGGTATACATTCAAAGGCAAGCCATTTGGTCTGATCCAGAGGAGTATGTTTCTGGCTGGCGATTTTCACCGTTCAGCTTCCGAAACTGCTTGTTGGTCAGGTAGTTGTCGGCAGTGATGCAGTGAAGCATTAGTGGCAACACTGATATTGCTGTCCTTGATGATGATGATGATGATGATGATGATGATGATGATGATGATGATGATGATGATGATGATGATGATTATAGCTGTCGGTCCGTTCGGTGAGCTTGATAATTAGTTAGATGGCCATCTGAACAGCAACCAGCAAGCGCACCGAAACTGCTAACAGTTCGAAGAAGAAGCTTGAAGAATTTTGTTAAATTTATTAGGATTTTACAGTGTCGTAAACGCTGAAGACAACATCAAGCCAACTAATGAACACTACACATCCAGAAGACTTGCGCGGCTCTTTGTGCCCTCTTTCGACAAAAATAGACACGACCGTCGGTGAAACAAGGCACTTCCAGTTAAGTAGAAAGACCGATCCGATAAACCCAAATTTAGGATGACCATATGCAAAATCCTGGCCTCTCAGCACTCCAGTTTCATTTGGCGAGATGGCTCAAGTGGTTAGGGCACGAGTTTGTTTACCGGAAGGTCCGTGGTTGAAACCCGACCTCTGCCTCTCGACTTCCTCTGTCTAGGCCTGGGCAACCTGGCAGTATCCTAGACCTCGTGCTTCCTTCGGGTAGCATGGCAGCTAGGCACCGGAAGGGTGTTACAGCTGAGAGGTTTTCTTTGACAAAGATTAACGGAAGGTATTTGGCTTGACTCCACACCTGATTATCGATTGTTCGGGTTCATGTTGGATCACTTCAACCGTACTTCCTACCAATTGCGTGACAGTTGCGTCACAATTGCCACATTATTGAGTAAGTTACTTGTGATCGGACCTCACCTCCCTCTATTTGACCAACTTAAGATGTTAAAAATCGGAACGTCCTCACATCTGATTGTAGGATCCGAATTTTCAAACTAACCGATTTCGTTAACTCCCCGAGGAAATGCAACTAACGGATTTTCTTTCGATCGTGAATTCCCTTGTCGGTGATCTTAACAGCTCTAATAAGCCGAGGCAGTAGCCACTTGAATGGATGTCTCACCTGCGCACTACTTTTATTCGTAGTGCAATTTAAAGATATTAATAGTATCTAAAATCTCTGCCCTGAAGTGATCATCACTCATTTTCAACTTTTTTCCGGTTCAACGCTCATCCATTCGCACCAACTAGAAAAGACATACGTGGTGGCCATCTACTATAATCGGTTCTTACGGTCCCTAGCACAGGCGCAAAGCCCTCATTCGAAATAACTTCCGGATGGCGTTTGGTATTCAGAAGTAATACTGGTTGTGACTTCACAACTTCTCAGTTTACGTATCTCTTGAGGGGATTGTCGGAATCACAGTATCCGCCCACAGCGTACACCCGTATGGTGAAAACTGTAACCATATCAACACAGTAACGCGAGCTCTTCGCTCAACGTTGACTACTGTTCCTCCGTTTCAAACTGACTTTCTGCTTGTGGTGCGATTGTGTTCAATATACCCAAATTAGTCGAGTTTTTGTTCCAGTTGCTGCACTGGTTGTGGCTTCGTCAAGCGATGTTCTGGTTTACGATTGTAGCAGTCTTCATTGGTTGAAACCATTGTTGTCCTATCTTAACTGTCCATCTCTTGCGAGACCACCATCAGGAATGTTCAACCGTCAGAAACGATCACTGAGCTTGCTCTGTGAAGTGTATTTCACTGGTAAGCTCCCAGCAGGATTCAATACCGATTAAACCACTTTCGGCCAGTCCTTTCCACTGGTTTCACGAGAGAAGATACACACAGCTATATCGTTTACAAGAAGTCACTTTGTTTGGTCTTTCCATGTGGTTTTCCTGAAGCCATGATTGTAGCCGTCTCGTTTCCTCTCTAAAAGCAGCCCACAGGGTATCTTTGACACTTGGTCTCCTAGGAGAGTACCAACCATTCGAAGTACTTGCGACGGATCAAACACAAGTAGCATTGCCTAAAAACACAGCGGTGAAGCTGTGGTCGTTCTGTTTCTGGTATGGATGAAAATATTACGACGTCCCCAGTGAATTAATGGAACAATTTCTTCACGCCACTTTTCAGGCGTCGAATTTATATAAAAAGTCGCATTGTATGGATTGTATGGAGGATGTTGTTAGCTCAGGTAGCTTTGTTGCTTTGTTCGCTGAACTGAGTAAGTCGATTGCAAACATTTTATCGCCAATCGAATTGACATCATCAGTGCGTTGTTGTGGAGCGCAGGGATGGGTCGGTGGTTGTGCAATCAAATTGTGCAGCTCAGGCAATAAACCAACGACCACCTTCCTCTTTGCGCGGATGACATTTTATGCCACAATGGACCTTAAATATGGTTGGGCGTTTGTCTCTCAAGAGATATCGAGTTCAGAGCCGACTGCGCCGGATGGAACTGAAGTGGTCCTGATTTGCCGGCGGGGGGTGCCGGACTCTTGCGGAGACCAGTGTGTCTGCTTCAGTGGTTATTTGTAGTCAACTGGCAGCTATTATTGTCTACCACAATGCTGGTTTAAACTGTATCACCAATGACTTCAAAATGAGTGTTATTGCAAACCACATGAATGTCGGCTTACTGCAACAGCTCTGTGGATCGTAGCTCTTGAGCATGCGTAAGTAAATTTTTTATTGCTACCAGACTTGTGCTGCTATCACATTTTCCAGCAAGCATCGTATGGTTAGTGATAACTTATACCCGAGCTTGGCTTTGTTAAGGCTTGCTATTGTACAGTGTCCCGTACGTTGGAACTTATCAACAATGGCTGATTGAATCTGTGGATGTTTGACAGCAGCTTATCCGCCATGTCTGGAACTGATTCATCCGGACACATTTTCTGATGTGTACTCAGCTCCTCACCTGATTAGAGTTTATGTCCTTGTAAAATCGTCCTATTAATATCTCACACCGACAGGTCCATCTCATTCGTATCCTTTGGTGTTCTGGTATATAACCTGGCATTTAAAATGCGTTAAATTCTCATTCTAGATTCACTAAAGTCGATGCCAGGATCACCTCAAAGTAGCAATACATCATCAGTAATCTGTGGCGTATTCGAAATGTGAATATATACGCACCTTCTGGATAATCACTCCCAACCGATGCCTTTGATATGCGAAGGCGAGTGAAGGCACGAAGTTCTCCAGATGGCGGTCTTTCTTCCGAGAGGTTGCACGCGAACTCGCACTTTTTGGGAATGATATTCTCCAGGGGAGTGTTCTCTATTCGAAAGATCTCTCTTGCCGTTGTTGTTGTTCAACTATGCCCGGATAGCCAGACGGCTTTACTCCAAAATCTGGGATGAACACAGAATGGAACGCCTCAACGGCGACTCCATTTAAAAATGACAAGAACATCGTACGAAAACCATCGGGAAATCAATCTGGTAACCATAGCTACCAAGGTGCTCTTTCCGTCAGTGCTTCACATACGTAGCCCTAGGTACGTCTCTTCGTCTGATACTGAAGGTTCACATTGGATCAAAGTCCGATGAATGTGACCCGAACAGACATATGAACCCTAGCCGTATTCTTCCCAATGGAATTGGTGAGACGGGCGTCCCAATTTTGTTGTCGGGGTTTTCCATCTACTTACAATGTTCCAGTAGTTTATAAAACAGCGCTTACAGTGTCTCTGGGTCAGTCTTGACCTGACCTTCTGATGTGTCAACGCTTCGCCTGGGCTAAACGGCTTCGTAGAAATACCAACGTTTTGGACTTTGTATATATCACTAACGAGGTTTGATTGTTGAGGGTTGTCACTGTGGACTTCTGTCAAGAAGTATTCTATTGAAGGTAAGAAAAGGTGGCCCCCTCGTGCACGCCACATCTGCGAAGCAGAATCACCAAGCGCATACTTGCTGCGACCCATCGGATTTGAAAAGGTGGATTTTAGCAATGCAGTTCGAAGCTGGAGAAGACCAATCCTGTAAGAAAACTAGGTATTGGAGTGAAAACCAATTTTCCAATCACCATTCACACCGTTTTCTCATCCGAGTACTGGTATAAACACCCCAGACAGACTCTGTCAACCTCTATTGATTTCTCTATTTTTCTGGCGGTTGGAGAGATCGTGAAAAGCAATCAATCTCTGAATTTTTTGAACTGTTTTGACTGCAACACCGGAGACTACGCGCCGGACTTTCGGTCATACTGAAAAAACGTGTTCGATATCTCCTGGAATACGACTAATTTCTCTCAGTGCTGATTAGTTCCGATGGAAAGTTTTTGTGGATGCAACAAGGCTGATCGCTTTTTTTCGTAGAGTCATATGGTATGAATCCAAGGCGTCCGTGGCAGTAACGCTTCTCACTTTATATCATTTCACTTGCCATTTGTATGCCTGATAAATCTGGAAGCTGTAACCTTTAACATTCCCTCACATTTAAGTAACCGAACTCGACTACACTGAATCTCATCATGCGAACGGGGCAAATATAATATCTTTCCAAACCTCGAATGGAACTGTGTCCTCCACATTAATTTGCACTGGTCTTCTGAAGTATTAATTGCCTCTGTATCTATTTTACTTGGTCAGAAAAATGTGTCGTTAGACAGAGGTAGGTAGTCCGAGTAGTAACACGAAGCTGTCGGATACAATGATAGATCATGACGTGACAACATAGCACGTATCCTACTGGTTTCTTTATACGTTCCTTAACTCAGAGTTGCATCGTCATCGACCGTATTGATGTTATGTATAGATGTGGAAAACGATATATTCCAAGCAATAGTTTGCCAAAGCCCCAAACGTTTAATGAGAGCGTTTTCAGCAAACTTTTGAATAGCGTGGACCGTTAAGAAAATATATTACGACACTTCAGTATTGTATCCACTGAAACACGAGGAGGATTTTGTGCAGCACAT